GAGAAAAAAAAAAAAAAAAAGACATTATTCAACAATTTGTCTCCTCCGCGTCACCCTGTAGCGCCATTTTGGAGAGTATCAGCTGGACGTAAACAACGTTTGCTGTTCTGTGTCAGCTGCGCCGGATACGCTGTTTTCGTTCAGATCAAATCACAACAACGTAGGAAAAAGTGACGCAGCTGACACAGAACAGCATACGTTGTTTACGTATCCCTATCCCTAACTATCCCTTTAAAAAGATCAGCAAAGAAACCATTTTATAGCTTAAACAGAGGATGCAAATACCTGCGCTTATTACAACCGCTGGGTTGTTGCGACTGTCCTGTCCCAGAAGCTGGCTTACACAAAAACTACTTCAACACAAAAAAAAAAATGTTGGGATTGAAATAAAATTACCCATGATTTTTAGACTACGTGCACACTATAAAAGCAGCTGATGCAAGCTGTTAATCACTTAAGTTGGTCTGATGTGATCGCGCGAATGCTCCGTTACAGACGGATTTGATACATTTAAAATAATTGGAAGCACATTCAAGTTACAAATTTCTGCGCTCTAACATTAAAATGGTGAATGCACTATATATCACCTGAACAAGTTGTTTTTCCCTTTCAATGACAATGTTTTTCCCATAGACTGTATAAAACGTTTTTTTTCCGAATGCATTGCTGTGTTGTAAACAAGTTGTCGAATCACAGTATAACTGCTTACATACAACAGTTCAATAAATAATAAGTTATTACATTTTAGACACAATGTTGCGAGTTACTTTTTTTTCTCATTTTGGTCCGCCAACGAAAGCAGTTTGTTCGAGAAGAATGACAGCAGAATCGACAGCTGCGTGACAGTTTCCGAGCAAGACACAGTAGCTTCTTTCAAGAACGATACACATTTATGAACAAAATCGGTTTAGTAAATGATTCAATGACTAAATATTTCATAAAGTCCCTTGCTTTGTGTTGCACAAATCAATAAACATTTAATGACTCACTCGTCGCCACCTAATGGCGTAATGATGTAATGTGCACTAATGAGAAAAGGGATCGTGTTCCTTTAATAAGTCATTAAAGGGGTCATATGATGCGATTTCAATTTTTCCTTTCTCTTTGGAGTGTTACAAGCTCTTGGTGCATAAAAAAGATCTGTAAAGTTGCAAAGACTAAAGTCTCAAATCCAAAGAGATATTCTTTATAAAAAAACTGCTACGAAAAGGTACTAAACAGATCGAAAGAGATTTAAAATAAGAAGTTTTAAAGCAATGACTTCAGTTGTATTGTGAAGAAAAAAAAAAAATCCATCTGTTTTCATCCATCAAATAATGATCATTTATAAATGAAGTACTCATTCAAAGTTCTCATATAATAGGAAATTTATTTTCACATGTCAGCAAAAACATTGTAGTGTGTAACACAGCTACACCTGAAAAGCAAAAAACTAATTTCAATGCTGTCGGCACAGTAATTCGTTCAAAACGGTGGCAAACTTGTAAAGTCCCCAAATAAAGGAACTTCCTATATGTAGTATACAATGTGCATATGACATATAAATGTATAGGCCATCTACAAATGACAACAGTATTTCCTTCTGAAAAATACATCTGTGAGATAAAATAAATGTTTTGAGAGAAAAAAAGACAAGAGTATAAAGAGATTTTTATCTCAGAAACAAAATATCACAAAAGCAGTATTAGAATTGCACCAACTCTGTTATAATAAACAAGAGTTTCAAAAGCACATCGGGTAAGTGTTCTATATTACGTCATGAGAATCCTCTGACAAACAAGCTCTCTATACAAAATGTACATTATCATATATAAATTTGGCATTCAGATGTAAAAATGGATGCTTTACATATATATCTATGTATAATTTTATTTTTTATAATCACCTAGCCCTCCAAACCACAATTACAGACTGATATTATTCTTTTAAACCGAAGGAGGTTCTCAGCAAGACACATGTATCGCATAACAGATCAATTCTGGTCCTTACTGATAAGAGAAAAGGACACAGACCTTGATTCAGTACAGACAACACTCAACTACAGCTAAAGCGGGTTTACATGTAAAACCACAGTCCATTGTCTCTGTGGATGTCAGAAAACGGCAGCCGTTTGGTCTATTTATTTCCATTTGTTAAAACCCTCATAGTTTCTTCCTACAGATGTCTGTCCTCAATAGTGCTTTAAAGCAGGTTCATCAGGTTTATGAATGCTCATTCCCATATGTGAACCTGGACCACAAAACCAGTCATAAGGGTCAATTTTTTAAAATTGAGATTTATACATCATCTGAAAGCTGAATAAATAAGCTTTCCATTGATGTATGGTTTGTTAGGACAGGACAATATTTGGCCGAGATACAACTATTTGAATATCTGGAATCTGAGGGTGCAAAAAAAAATCAAAATATTGAGAAAATCGCCTTTAAAGTTGACCAAATGAAGTTCTTAGCAATGCATAATGCTAATCAAAAATTATATGTACTGTTTATATATCTATGGTGTAGACAGCATCACTGATTATAATGAGTTCTATAGTATTTTGTCGCGCCGCGCCACTCGCGTCCGGTGTAGACACGGTGTAACATTGGTTTTGCTTTGTTTCACAGAACTAATCGTTGCCTGGGTTGCATACGTATGTGTGGGGCGAAGCTATCAAAATAGGGGCGAGACCCTTTTGGGGTAGAGGCGTGTTTGTTTTGGTGATTTCAAATGTCAACATTGGCTACCAGAAATCGCTTACCCCACCTTTAAGACTGGTTTTGTGGTCCAGGGTCACATATATGCTTGTTTATCAGCATAATCTAGGCTTCTGTTCAAAGGCAGGCCTGCTGCACCTGTGTCAGAAGCTCCCCGAAGCGATCGAACAGGCACTCTACCCATGTCCTGTTGCCCATGCATGTCTGAACCGTCTCCTCCTGCCCCAGATCTTTACCTCCCGACTTCAACGACCGAATCTGATGAGAGAAACACACTGAAGAAACATAGGACCCACAGTATTGTAAACATAAACTATATTTTTCATTTTCTAAAGAGACAAATGTCACTTTTTAGGGTGTTCTGAGTTTGTTGTTCGGTGGTAGCAACCAGATTCAAACCCGAATCTCCCATATGAGCACCATAGCTCAACATGAAGGAACTGCACGGTATGTGAGTTGATGAAAGGCTAATAATTTATTAAATCAAATGTAAAATTACAAATAAATAAATTGGGCTGAACAATTAATCAAAATAAAACAGAAAATGCAATATACTTTAGTGTGATTATCAAATCAAAAGCTAATTAAATAAGAATAGTTTGTATGCTCTGCGAGTTTAACAGAGTGCGCTTGGTTCACTTTATTTTAAATAATTTCCAACATTTCTGTGGACAGAAGAATTTCACCAGCATTCCTCCAAAATAAAAGTTTGAGAATTTAAAAAAGATAGAAGCTCAAGGGTTGAACGTTTAAGGATGAATAATTTAAGATGTAAATATTGCTAACTTTTAGTGTAAAATGATATTTTACACTAAAAGTTAATGTCTTTATTTTTTATAATTACAGTTAAAACTAATAATAATACTAATGAAGACCCTGAATGAGGTCTTTTGATGTTTTCAGCAGGAGCAATATGAGATTAAATATATATATTTATATGAAAATAAAATTACAATATAATAATAATATGAAATAAATAATACATAAAATAATAAATTAATAAAAATAAATAATAAATTAAATATTTAATCTGTTTACCTGCATATCATTTAACCATTAACCAACATCAGAGATGTGTGAATATGCAAATGTGTCGTTCTTTTATTGAAATATTAATGTAAAATCTCTGGGGGTGCTTCAAGTAAATATTTCATGTCTAAGTGGTTCCAGCTGACAAAACGTTTGGGAAACCTTGCGGTAGGCCAACGTTCAGGTCTTATTTTGCTTAAGCCAGCACTTTTACCACGGAGGATAAAACAATACACGTCAGAGCTGATACTGATATGAACACCGCTAGTCAAAACAAGATGCTTTCAAAGATTCCTAGAGCTTGTCAGCAAGGACTAGTAGATTGGTTATCCATCCAAAAACTCGCACAAACAAACGTTAATGCCTCACCTCCTCCATACACATCAGGTATGTGTGGTACTTATAGTGTTGTAGAGAGTGATAAAGGGAAAACCACTTCGTTTTCTGCTGATCCACTGTGTATTCCTGATCGAGTGGGAAAAACAGAGAAATAAAGACTGCAACTTTGTATCTACAGTGACCTAAAAGCCAGTATGGTATACCTCCTAGTGGTCAAAAAAATGTAACTAGTTGTTATCAGGATATTTGGTATTAGCAACACTTGTACTGCTAGACCTGCAATACTCACCAGGGGAAGTTTGCAGGGCGATTTCGAGGGCTTCATGGTTTTCTTGTTGTAAGCCCTCCCACTTAACCTCACTTTAAAAACGGGAGTCTCGCAGTCTGTTTTCAGCTCGGTCACCACGGACAGCTCAGGCAAGCTGTCTAATGCATTCTGCCGGACAAAACAGACAAAATAACATGTATTAAAATAATCCTGAAATCATAAGCAAGCACAGTGTCTGTGTTTACATGCACAGATCTATTTTCATCAGTCTGAATGCACATTCCAAAATTTCTATGCGTCAAAATCTGCAAGCCTACAAAAAAATCTATCAAATGCATTTTTAACAAAATGTCTGTGCATGTGAAGAGCAGTGCTTTCTTTCACTGGCTGTGTCAGAGAAATGATCAAGTCAAAAAAACTAACACAATTGATTGTGTATTCGACGTTTTTTGCCTTTCTACTAGGGATGTGTAAAAGTACATATTTTCGAAACCAACAGGTTGATGGGTTATCTTAAAGGTGGGGTAAGTGATTTCTGGTAGCCAATGCTGACATTTGAAATCACCAAAACAAACACGCCCCTACCCCAAAAGGGTCTCGCCTCTATTTTGATAGCTACGCCCCACACATACGTACGCAACCCAGGCAATGATTAGTTCTGTGAAACAAAGCAGTGATGCTGTCCACACCATAGATATATATACAGTACATATCTATGGTCTACACTGGATGCGGCATGACACGAATCCCCGACAGAAAACTGCTGCTGCGTTCTATTCATGACGTATTGACACAAATTTCAAATGATTTTCAACGGTCGCTTTGTCGTGTCGCTCGGCTCATGTCTGTCCTGTGCACTGAACGCTCTCTCCTCCACATCATGAGTAGACACGCCCCTTACTGCTGATTGGCTACAAGTTTGTTTTGCTAGTCGGCCCGAATCAGTTTTCTAAAGCGTTTTTGAAAAATCGCTTACCCCACCTTTAATTACTAGTCAACTAGTTGGTTTTAAAGGAATAGTTTACATTTTCAGCAGATTTTCATTTTCAGGTACTCACGCTGAGGCCATCCAAGATGTAGATGAATTTGTTTGAGTTGAGAAATTGAGCATTACGTCACTAGCTCACCAATGGATCCTCTGCAGTGAATGGGTGCCGTCAGAATGAGAGTCCAAACAGCTGATAAAAACATCACAATAATCCACAAGTAATCCACACCACTCCAGTGCATCAATTAATGTCTTGTGAAGAGAAAAGCTGCGTGTTTATAAGAAACAAATCCATCATTAAGATGTTTTATTTCTCCCTGATTCAGACAACACAACGTTTTCATAGGAGACCTCAATATTACGGATAGAAGACTCGTATTTTAGCCAGAAGCAACGGTTTGAAGTTAAAAATGTCTTAATGATGGATTCTAACAAACACAGAGTTTTTCACTTCACAAGATGTTAACTGATGGACTGGAGTGGTGTGGATTACTTGTGGATTATTGTGATGTTTTTATCAGCTGTTTGGACTCTCATTCTGACGGCACCCATTCACTGCAGAGGATCCATTGCTGAGCAAGTGATGGAATGCTACATTTCTCCAAACCTGTTTTGATGAAGAAACAAACTCATCTACATCTTTGATGGCCTGTGAGTGAGTAATATTCAGCATATTTTCATTTTTGGCTGAACTATTCCTTTAATTCAACCCAAACAATACAAAAAAAATAAAATAAAAACGGAAGCTATTAGTCAGTGTTAAATGTGATTATTATTGTGAGCTGAAGCAGGACTGTGATATACTGATGGCGAAATGGAAAATGGTGACTCATAACTCACTTTGAAGATCTGACCCATGCGCAGTTTGGGCAGCAGCCTCCGCCTGTTGTCTGTGATCATTCCATCCACCCTCTTCATGTGAGGCAGCAGCAGCTCGTCTGAATGCAGGACCAGATCAACCAACAAAGGTCAGCTTCACCATGTGCCACTTATTAACACTCCTGTTACAAATCAGACAGTTTGATCCTCGACTTCTCACCGTTCTCTCGCTCCAGCGCGTTCATGACGTCCGCGTCCAGGGCTATGCTGATCAGCAGCTCAACAAAGCTCTTAAAGGTTTCCTTCATTGTTCTGGTGTTCAGGAAACGCGAGGCGAACGGAACCGGAGGCATAAACTCTACGATGGGGATATATGGGATTGAACAAAGGATGAGTGTGGAACAACAGCAACATACAGACTGATCCTTATTGATCCCCCATGAGAAATTAGGGTGCAACATTCCAAAAACATGGAATAAGAAAATATCAGCCACTACAACCTGAAATAATTTAAATCATTCTAATTAAAAGAAAATTCAGTAAATATTAGCGGTTTGATGCTAATATTAAATGTATGGTTGTAAGTGATATTGTCAGTTTTAGAATAGTCGATTTTTCTATACATTTCATAAAATTCCATCTGTAAAACTTGTTGGTACACAAAACAAGTGCTACAATATAACATCAATTAAACATATTATTATTTATTTTTAATGGTATTTATTGACATTTCAGATTACACTTTGCAGAACATGTCATTGAACATATTTTTGCTGTGTTCTTGTTGCATTTACGCAGCTTTATCCAGCAGATGTCCTTAGTGTGTGGAGTTTTGAGTGCTTCGAAACAGTGAATCATTCTGCGAACTAATTGGTTCAACTAGTTCAAAAAGCCTCACTTTTTCCCTCATCACTGATGTGCACAGATGCACATTTGAACACAACAAGGTCATACTTCCCCTGCTGTCACGTCTCACCGTCATCCTCGCTCACAGCCTCCGGTGAGGAGTCGGAGGGAGATGTCGTGAACTCTTCTTTCCATTTCTTTCTCTTTTTAGGCGGCGGTTCAGCCTTGGGTTTCGGCTGCTTGGGTCTGGGTTTCGATAGAGCTTTCTGTTGTGTTGTTTTCTGTGTGGGAGAGTCCGACACAGATGCCGCAGTGAATCGTTGGGCCAGAAGAGCTTTAGCCTGAGAGCCTCTGGGAACAACAAATAAATGAATGTTATTTATGGAGTGTAATATGTAGATTATCAATAGTGTAGTCAACAAGGGAACCGTCCTGACGGATAGTGAAACACTGTGAATTTCGTGCTAGCTGGCTGGAATAGAGTAATGAGTGGGATCAGTTTGATGTTGAAGATTTCAAACACACTGGCAGGAGATTGATGTTCCATGGAAAAATATTTGGCTGAGTGGGACCTCACAATAGAGGCCTGTGGTTCAGCTTGACATTTTAGTGAAGAAAGCAAAAACTCATCTGTATGTGATTCAGTTACACATTTACAAATGATAGGAGGCATTAACATAGGACAGGTGACACCAAAGTCTCAAAATTCTCAATGAAACGGAAGTAGCGACAGATCTTTTCTTCCATATTGTGATGTACATCAGAGTGTAACGGATTATCGAAACAGAAAAATGTAGGGTGGGGACTTGGTTCTATGCATCGGTTGTTGATTGGATGTTGAGATGTGGGCGTGGCCCTCGAAAGTGGAGGTTGATGAATGTGAGCTTGCAGTGGCAGAGTTTAAAGGGGTCATACGATGCGATTTTATGTTTTTTCCTTTGTCTCTGGAGTGTTAAAAGCTGTTTGTGCATACAGAAGATCCGTAAAGTCGCAAAGATTAAAGTCTCAAACCCAAAGAGATATTCTTTATAAAAGTGAACGCTCAGCCACGCCCTCCTAAAACACCTAATTTAAACACGCCCCCACATGTCTACGTCACTGTGTGGGAAGATTCGCATAACACCGCCCAAATGTTCACGCAAAGAAAGAAGGCGTAACTTTGACTCTCGCTGTAGTATTGTTGCCACTGCCGCCATGTCGTGGAGACACTGTGTGTTTCGTTGCGAAAGCCAAACTACTTTGTTTGTTCTTCCAAAAGCGGACACGACTAGAAATCAGTGGTTAAGTTTTATTTACAACACTGTTCCAGAACAGTTCAACCCAATCCAGTGGATGTGTGCAACGCATTTACCTTCAATTTAGGGTTGTGCCGGTAGATGATAGTATCGTGTATCGACGATAGTCAGAGATATCGCCTGTTGCTGATTTCTTTGACAACAGCAAGTCGATTATTATTATTATTATTCATCAAAAATATAGGCGCCTATCTTTAGTGATGCCGCTTCAGAAACTTGCCGCGGCGCAGCTGCTGAGTAGCCGTGGTCAGCTCCGGTGGCTGTGTAAATAAGGGGTAAGAGATTTATTCATGATACAGTGTAGGTAGCGTCACTGATTATAACGGGAGTGTTTATAAAGAGCATATAATACTTGCACTAGACTGAAGTCAGTTATGATGTTCTTTGGTAATGTAAATATTCTTTGCTCGTTTTCAGTTTGAATAACTGAGGAAATGTAACCGTTTTATTAACTTGCGTCGTCAAACATTTCAAGAACATTCTTCCTCTCCTGAAAGATTCGCGCACGTCTCGGTCTCCTCAGCGCCATCACATCACAAGTAAAAGTGGGGGAAGTCGTGGCCTAATGGTTAGAGAGTCGGACTCGTAACCCAAAGGTTCACACACTTTAAATTTAATGAATTATCAGCACTTAAGACTAAAATGGCACTTTCAGAAGCTTGATAAATACGGGCCCTGGTGTTTTTACCGGAAGATCCAGTAATGACATTTTTATTACACTTTACAAGGTCAAAAAAATGTTACAAATGAAAAGTGCATGGATGAACTCTTCAAAATAAGACCTATAATATGCATTTAGAAAACAGATGGGGTGAATTTTCATTTCAGCCTGACTTTAAGCCATATTGATAACACCCTACGCACAGCATGTACACGTACAGCCCACAAATGAGGAAAGACTGAAATCTGTTTTTCAACATTACTTTCTAACCACATGTTTAAAATCCGACCTGATACATTCTGTACCTCATTGAATGCATGGGCTTGCATCGTGGTTTCCTGCTGGAGACTCGAACATACTCCCGCTTGTTGACTGTGTCAAGAAATTTGACATGTACTCTCCTGTACATGAACTTAGCATCACCAAAGTACCCCAAATACTGTAAAAAAGGATAAGACACTGCCTGTTGTTCAAAGCATTTTGAGATACCCGTTGGAAACACACTATGGTGCCACATATATTAATGTTTTGTATTGGCACTTACACTGTTGGTGGCAAAGAACACTCGTTTCTGGTCCCTGAGCTCCGGTACAAACTTCTGCAGCAGGGCTTTCTGCACTTTCCAGATGGCTGGTGGTTCGACCCCTGCCTTCATTGTGATCTACACCCAAAAACACAACACATCAAAGGTTTAAAGAGACAAAGGGTTTGATTAAACACAGACAGAGTGTCTGCCCTATGTCTCTTATAATTGATAGGAGGTGGGTGAAAACATCGATAACTGCTCAGCCACAAATGATACGTCACAATATGTAGTTTCATCAATTTAGCGTCAACATGAAATGGCATTTAGCTCCATAATATGAATTATTGGCCACACGTTAGTTTGGCAACCAATTCTCACTATTAACTAAACTATTAACTACGACTTTTGTCTCAATAAACACCTAATTTGCTGCTTATTAATAGTTAGTAAGGTAGTTAAGTTTAGGTATGGGGTTGGATTAAGGGATCTAAAATATGGTTTTGCAGAATAAGGCATTCATATGTGCTTTATAAGTACTAATAAACAACCAATTTGCTAGTCATATGCATGCTAATAAGCAACTAGTTAATAGTGAGAATTGGTCCCTAAACTAATTATTATTTAAATAAATGGCATATTTAATTGGACTGGATCATGCAAGTGGTTGTTCCATATCAGAATTGGTTAAAGAAAGCAATATCCCATGCAGCCTAGGTGAACGGGTTACAAAGACAGGCATTTTCTTTCTTAGAAACAACGTCCACAAAAGATTGTGCACAATACGAACTGGAACATGCAAGTAAGGGTTGATTTTATATAGACTTCAACAGGCTCATAAAAGCCCATCTCAGCATACCTCCAGCCTTTCAATATCCTCATTCCTAACGACGAACTCGTCACGCTCCCGGTACATGCCCTCCCCTCCACTATCTGACAGCTCCTCGTCCATCAGGCCCTCGATAGCAACTGAGTTCAGTTGAACAGCTAGCTTGTCTGGAGGCACATTCTTTAGTAACTCCTCCGCAGACATCTTCTGTACAGCCGTCTGTTGGTCCTGTGGCTTGGCATCAGTAGGCTGTGTGCTGGAGGTCTGAAGTTGCTTTGTATTGTCACCTGAAGGTTTATGTTGAAACAAGAGAGGATGAACGAGGGTTGTCATAATACCTAAATTTCAGTGATTTATTTACAAAATCGAATACTAAGCAGCAACATGCTTTTACCTTTACATACAGTCCTTGAAGCTTTCCTAAACATTATATTATAATAGTATGATTTAGACATGTTTATTATGAATTATGAAAGAAAATGTCTACATAAAGGGAGCTTCCATACCTAACTTCTGCTTTTTGTCTGAGGGCTCGTCTAAAGATGACAGTGCAGACGTAATGCTCTTTTGAAGATCTTGGTTTTTTCCCACTGAATCATCTTCATCAGAGGAAAACGATGGCAGTGTTTCCAGGTTCCTCTGGAGCTCTTCATCAAGTCGCTTTGTAGAAATGACACTTTGAGGATCTGGATATATCAATGGGGTTGAAGGAGGGGGAGGTTTAAAAGGAATAAGTAATGGATTAGGAGGCCTCTTGGAAGCCGAAGGCTTTCTACTGCGATTGGGTGACCGTATCGGTGGAGATGATAGGTTTTGTCTGGATCCAGATTTAAGAAAGTCCAGGAAGGAACCCAAGAATCCAGTTTTAACCTCTGGCTGTTTTTCTTCAACCTCTCTTAATTTCTGACACATTCTCTCCTGCTGTTGGTAGTTATCATTTGAAACCTCTGAGGTAGAAGTTGAACTTGCCTCACTGGCACGTGAATTCTGACGCTTAACTTGTGTGCTTCTCTTCTGAGATTTGGGTTGATAATTTTCATCTTCAACAGACTGCTTTGATGAACCCTTTGATCTGGGTCGTTTTTTTGGAAGGCCATCTGTAGGATGTTCACTAGGACTATCATCAGTTTTAAGGCCTTTCAATATCTTCGGCTGGCTTGTATTATTTGATACGTTTTCAGTATTCTGATATCCTGATTGACTTTGCACCTGGCCAGCCACCTGAAAGTCAGAGGAGGTTGTATTACTAATAACAAGTCCATTAGTATTCAAAGCAGAGCCATGGCTAGAGTTTACAAAATGTCCATTGGGTAACACATTATTTTTCTCATGAGTGTTTGCTACCTTGTCAGATATTTCTTGCGCAGAGTTGTTTCTTACTTCTGGTTGGTTATTAGAGTTTGAGAGTGTAAACACGTGGTGTCCCTCCATTTCATATTTGGAGTATGTTGTTTGAGCACCAATTATAGTCATGGCTTGTGAGTTAGCGATTATCATATGCTGAGATGGGAAACTATCAAGTCTGTTCTCAGCAGACTGAAAATTGCACTTGGAGTCTACAGGGTTGGCTACCGATGACAAGTCGGCATCAGATGACGTGGATTTGACAAAGTCCTGTGGTGTGACGCCACAGGCGGCTGCGGTAGCAGCAAGGATGTCATCGACATTTGAGAGAATGTTCCTCTCATCTGCCAATAGCATGGAGTCAGGAAAGCATACAGAACTGAGAGTAAAGTTCTGCTTTGCGTCATGAGGATTTGACTGGTTGAAGTTGTCTTTTTGTGTTGGGTCCTGTTTAGTGGACACTGTTGAGTTGGGCACTTGGTGAGAGACAACTTGCTGGTTGTGACGCCCATTAACGGTCAAATTAACAGTCTCGCTATTCATTTGGAGATACTGGACTGGTACAGACTGCATATACATAGTCTGCTTGGTCTGATTCTGGCCTGAGGTGAGTACAGGCTGTTGCAGAACAATCATGTGAGTGGGATCAAGGAGAACTTGGGCACTGGGAACTCTAATGAACTGTGTTTGGTCCTCAGACAGGTGTCTGGGATCTGTCGGTTGAACTCTGATAATCTGACCCTGAAGGTTCTGCTGCTGAGAACTGGCCCCTTTCAGAAGGAGAGTATGCTGTTTCAGCTGGTCGGCACTCAAGGGTGCATGGGTGGAGTGCATCAACAAAGGGTTACTCTTGGGGTCGGAGGGAGTATTGGCACTGGTAGCGAGCTCCTTTGTGGTTTCCAAATGTGTAAGGATCTGCTCCTCCGTTCGGGAGTTACTACGAATGACGCTTTGGGTGTTATGCCTGTCTTCCATTTTCGAAACTACATAAACGTCATTTTTTGTGCTGTTCTGTGCTCCGACTTCATGGGCTGAAAGGGTTTGAGGGGAGGTCACCATAGAGCCTTTCTGTAATGCCTGCACATCCTCAAGAGGAAGTTCTTCAGAGCCCTCTTTTGAGGAAAGAAACATCTGTTCATCTTGTTGGTGTGGTTTTAACTCAACTGAGGACTGGTTGTTTGGTAAGGCTTGGGTGTGAGTGGCAGGAGAGGAGGTTGATGAGTGGACAGACGACAAGTACTTCTGCTGTAAAACGGCAATGTCTGTCTTGCTACCAGGAGAAGACTGCATTAAGATATAGTCCTGTCCGGGGTTAGTGGATGATAAACTTCTGGCACGACTGGGTGAGAAGGAAGGGATGGGGATTAGAGATTGACTTGACACATAGTTCTGCGTAGGTATGCTAGCAGATGTCGGCCCCTGGGTATAGAAACTAATGGTTGGCAGGCCCTGAGAGTGGCTGGAAGAATAGCTTTGAGAAGGATTTCCCATGCAAAGAGTTTGCACCCGTGTCTCATACCCTTCCCGGTTTCCCACAGGTGGCAAATCCTGCTGCTGACTAGAGGAATAAATAAGAGACTGGCTCACAGATGTCTCAGCTTCAGGTTGACTAGCAAATGATGGGACAGTCTTGTAAATCGAAGGAAGCTTCTCAGGCAAACTAGAAGAGAAGGTTTGTGTTTGGCTAAGGTTGCTCGACAGGCTTTGAGATGTGATATAAGTGTGCGAGGCACTAATGGAGACCAGGCCTGGAAGCTGTGTGGATGTGTACGGTTGTGACTGGCTAGCGATTACTGAGCTTTGTTTCTGGGCTGGGGAGGAGTAGCTCTGCGGCTGTATGCCTGGAGAGCTTGCCTGGGCTTGAGTGTCTGTGTTCTCACTGGGATGCTGGGCCATTTTGGAAGAACCATCTTTAACCTTTACTCCAGATGAGCTGGAAAACCCAGGGGAGGGGGCAGAAGAAGCGTAGGCCTGAGTTTGCTGCAGTGCTGCTTGAGAAGTCTTCTGTTGTGTGGTGCTGTTTAGGGATGAAGGGTCGCCCGCAGGACTACAGGGTATGGGTGTGTGCGGGGAAGGGTCCTGTTGATATGAAACGTCACTCTCGTCATGCAGGTAACCCTGTAAGGAGTGCTGAGCACCGCTAGCCAGCTGCTCCTGAACTGGCTGGGTGCTAGAAGGCCGTTGGTGGTGCTTGATCACACTACATTCACGCTGAAGTGCTCGTTCAATGGAGCTTGAGAAAACTGGGCCACCGTAAGGCTGAGGGGCTTGCTGGGAGCTGCCCAAGGATGTAGACAGCAGGCTGAACTGAGGCTGAAGGAGGTGTGGGGCTGACTCTTGTGCTGAGCGATAGGTGGAGGACTGGGGTGGCAAGCCAGCCCCTAGAGACGTACCACCAAAAGCAAGAGCAGTTGGCACAGTGTACTGGGAGGATTTGAGCTGCAGCAGAGGGTCATTAGGGGATAGCAGACCATTTGAAGAGTTGAAAGTGCTGTCCTGAACAGCAGGTGCTGATGTAGTGGTGAAGCTTCTGGTAGGAAAGGCACTAGGATGCTGGTAGGATGAGAGCGCAAAAGGCGTCGGGAACGTTCCTGATGGATGCAGGGCTCCGGTGAGATAAAGTTCTGTTGAAGAGTTTGCACCTATAGCAGAAAAAAATGAAAGTTTGACGCACTGCAGGCAGCATTTAAATTACATGTCATCTCTAAACCAATTTCCTTTTGCACTAAAATGCCACTTTCTGTTACCATACCACTTAAGGGGCTCATATCATGAGGAATCAAATCCTTCCTTTATCTTATGAGATAAAAGAGTTCATTGTGCCATTTAAACTGTAACTTTCCTCAGTCCAAACAGACCATCTATAGCAGGGGTGGGCAAACTTGGCCCTTCCAGGTCACTTTCCTTCAGAGTTTAGCTCCAACTCTAATCAAACACACCTGAACCAGCTAATAAATGTCTTCAAGACTACTAGAAAGCTACAGGCAGGTGAGTTTTATCAGGTTGGATCAAATCTCTGCAGGAAAGTGGCCTGGAAGGGCCAAGTTTGCCCATCACTGATCTATAGAAACTAAGCTGCAAAAAATTACTTGTTCTGTACCTATTCATTCAGCTGTTTCAGTGATTGGAAACATGGCATGCCCAGTTACAGTGAGATGAAAAGGAGAACGCAGGATTGATGCTATTATTACTAAACACCACAAGATCTAATGCTAAGAGTAAGCAGAAATAAGGAACGTGATTCTTTCAGTCTGACTGTAATGGTTTTAGCGGTGCATTTCAGCCAGAACGGTTTTGTGAACGTGTCACAATGTAATACAGACTTTGCTATGAGACTGTTATCGAAGGATGGAACAGTGCAAACTATAATATATACAACAACAACTTTGCAGCCTATGTGTAAGTGCAGCAATGCGCTAATTCATTTCACATGCAAAGAGGGAGTTTATAAAAGAGTCTTAAAGGCCAGGCAGCAAAAATGGCCTATTTAATTTTAAGGGAGGGTGGAAAATGTTCATGAAATACTAAATGATGACCTATTAATAAATGGAACGTAGGGGAAATTACATTTTATTTCATTTTTTCCTTCCATCAGCTAGTTTATTTCATATAACCACAACTATCTACTTCATGACCCTTTAAGGATCACTGGCAGCTGAGAAACTATGAGTCCAATTATCACTGATAAGATGGTGCAGCAAAAACCTCAGTGGTTCCTCTAAGTTAGAGACCTAATACATATTTACCAGTTTGCCAGGATGGGCTTCTAAATGAAGGGAGAAGAGTCGAGCCAGCAGGTCCAGCCTGAAGGCTTCTAGATTCAATAGCGGAGAGGAAGTTCATGACTGATGATTCAGTAGTGTTGCTACTGGCGGTGCTGTGCTGATTTGAGTCAAACACTCCTAGGAGAGAGATATCATAGACAGACAACAGGCTGTCAATGACTTCAAGGAGTAACTATATCCCATTACAGCCTGAACCTCTTGCTCACCTGTGGGATGGTGGGTGGTGGTAAACGTAGGCTGGTGACTAGAGGCAAAAGTCTGCCGTTGGAGGAGCTCAGAGTCCAACTGTGTAGAACCATAACTAGAACTATAAAGTAAAAAGGTCACCTTTAGATTTTGTACATTTAAAAATCCAACCACAACCTTGAGCTCATGCAAAGATCTTTAATCTTCAATTAAGATTTATAAACAGTATCTTCACACGTAACATATCCTAGAGGTGTTTACTGTACATGTTCGCGCAACTCTAAACTATTTAGTATAACAAAAACAAACTATTTCAGACATAATAGCAGATATTACTCAAATTCTCTGTGATGCAGACTAGTTTGGCAGTAGTAGTGTATATAATAGGCTAGTAGTAGTTGCATAGATTGGTTAGTTATATGTTCATATTTATACTGATAATTTTTCCGTCATAATCAATATACCATAATCATTTTAAATGTGCTATCTACACTTCACAGCTAATGAGACAAAAAGGAACAAGCTACAAAGACAATAGAAAGATGTCAAAGAAAACATATGGCAACTATTTTATTTGGTTAGTTTGTCTGTTATGATTTTAGCAATGCTACATCTCTTGCTAAATAGAGGAAAATCCGCACTATATATTTTGCCAAATAAACATCTGCGTAAGTAAATGTCACAGCTGGGGAGATTCATTTGGGTTTGTTTCCTGGTTGTTTTTGAAGGTTTCAGTGTGGATGTGTGTACAGACCTTGCATAAACGAACAGAGTGAATATCCCTCAGCTAGTTCTAGTCTGTTGGATTCCTAGTAACTGCTCTATTTCAATTAGTAGCACAGTCAGCAAACTAATCACAGTGTGGCAGCATACAACTGGAGGATCAGACAAAACCAAATTTAGAGTCCATCACTGGTGGCTTACACTCAGATGTTAAACTGCAAGTGAAAGTTGATCATTTTAATGTAAAAGAAAGACAGTAAATGCAACTACTGAACAGACTTCAAGTCCCACTATGAATGTTAAACAACTTAATGAACCTACTGGAACTTATATATAAAAAAAGAATCTTTTGGAAAAATATTAAATACGTGTCCATTTGTTACTGTATTATAAACTTATCTCCCTATCACCTGAAATATATATATATATATAAATGTATTAGGGCTGCACGATTATGACAAAAATCATAATTTTCGATTATTCACTTGAAATTGTAATTGCGATTATTAATTACGATTATCACAATTTATTTTATTTAATTTACGGCATGCCACATTTTTATATGAAAATAAGCTGAAAACACTCTAACTGAAAAACTTTTAGTGCTTTTCTATAGTATTATTATATAATTTCTGACAAGATAATACACAATACAAGCAGGATTATATAACATGACAAGCTGCATTATAAACCCATTCCTAATGCATTATATTAGTATATTATTATAGTGTTATATTTCAATTTCACAAAGAAATGTGCAGCATTTTGTCCAAGCAATAATAAAAGGACACATTTAATTAATAATTTGTCTTAAATTTCATTTTGTAAAAATCGTGAGTTGAGTGAATCGTTACATCCCTAATTATAACACAGCTAATAAGTTCTCATAATTATAACCATAGTTCAATTCAAGTTTATTTGTATAGCGCTTTTCACGATACAAATCGTTGCAAAGCAACTTTACAGCAAATTACGTTTCTACAATATTTAGTGGTAGCTTATCAGTGGTGACTGTCAGTTAATGTAAACAGTTAATGTAATGTACATAGTTATAATACACTACATTTTTATCTTTTAATAGTTTCCAGGCTGATGTGTCATGTCATGTATTATGACCTATTAGAAAGATCTAGGCATGAAAATTACAGTAGATTACAATATGCAGTTTTAGGAATTATGAATGGCTCTATGCAGTACATACTTCAATTTCCAAAAA